TGTATTTATGCTGATATCCACACGGGCCAAAATAACACGATCAACTCCCTTCCGCAATACTGCACGCCGTTGACGATCTGCCAACAAGCCCGTCTGGCTGGCAAGGCTTGCGAGTTTGAGGGCCGTAATATTGGGATGGGCGTTTTTGAGCCCATAATCTGCCAAGGGGGCTACTACTGCCCGCCAGCACAGAGGACAACCATTCGATGCCCCTCCGGTTCGTACTGCCAGCCCGGCGCACCATCACCGACCCCTTGTAGCACTGGCAGCTACTGTCCCAAGGGCGCTACGAGCGAAGCTGTTGTGATCCCAGTGGGCATTGTTATCATTGTTGATCTTTTTATTGGCGCCATCTTGCTGTGGGTTGTCTTGCGGCAGCGAAGGAAGAATGGCAAGAGGATGAAATTCCCAGGAATCCCATTCGTGGCCAAGTCTGCATCAAAGAAGGGAATTCAAGCTACAGTCACGGGGTACAAGCAGCTTGACGACGAGACAGACCAGGAGATGCAACCTATGCAGCCCACATTTCTGCCATATAGGCCCGGGAATGGCTTTCAGGCTGTTCTCGACGTGCCCGTGGCACGCGCCCCAACCGTCAAGTTGCGCCGAGCTAACACACTGGCTGCATTGAATCCGCAGCTCAAGGCCTTTGTCGACTCAATGTCAAGAGCCACGGATGTACAAGCCGACAACCTTGGCCTATCTTTCGCATACAACGGTCTCACATTTCAACCGAAAGGCCGACCCACGCCCATTCTACAGGATGTCACTGGCCGGATAGATAAGGGATCTCTCGTCGCCGTCATGGGCGGTTCTGGCGCCGGAAAGTCGACCTTTGTCAACGTGCTCATGGGCAAGACCAAGAACACTGGAGGGACTGTCACTGTCAACAACATTCCTGGGAAGATCGAGCAGTACAAGAAAATTATAGGCTACGTGCCTCAAGATGATGTTGTCCTTCCCGAGCTGACAGTCCGGGAAAATATCCTGCACTCGGCACGCATCCGTCTGCCCAGATCCTGGTCCGACAAGGACATCTCGGCCCACGTCGACTCTGTTGTTGACTGCCTCGAGCTCTCTCACGTCCGAGACTCCCTAGTCGGCAGCGTTGGAAAGCCTGTCATCAGTGGTGGCCAGCGAAAGCGCGTTAGTATCGGTATGGAGCTGGCCGCTGCGCCCATGGCTATTTTCCTCGACGAACCGACAAGTGGATTGGACGCTACTGCCGCCAGCTCAATCATGCTGACCTTGAAGGCTCTTGCGCGTCTCGGTATCTCGGTCATTGTCATCATTCACCAGCCGCGTATGGAGATCTTCGAATTGCTTGACAATCTCATTCTTCTTGGCAACGGCCAGGCCATCTATGAAGGACCGGAACATGAAGCGCAGGCATATTTTGAGGGTATGGGGTTCAAGTTCCCTAAGCACAGCAATATTGGCGACGTGGTTACGGATATCATTACCGGCAATGGGAGGGCATACAAGAAGGGCGGTGACGTCTCTAAGGAGGCCCTCATCAGCCACTGGGCATCCCATCATCGTCAGTGCGAAAGCGATGAAGAGTCTGGCGATGACTCCGAGGCAAAGAGTATCAGGGTCTCTATGAGAGCACTTTTGAAACGCCGTGGTGCCCGCCGCATAAGCAGACATGGCTTTGCTTCCGCCGCGCCATGCTGCAACAGTATCGTCTCAAGCCCGCACTATTCTTTGAGATTGGCTTAAGCGTTCTTTCAGGATTCCTCATTGGTTTATCTCAAGATGGAAAAAAGGGTGTGCTCTTCCGAGGCTACTACAAGGCGCCTTATGAGGACCTTAGCCTATCCGCAGACTTTGCCTCACCAGCCCAGCTGGCTCTGCTCCAGGCCATCGGCATCGGTCTCATATGTGGGGCGCCGGGGGTGAAGATATTTTCAGAAGAGGTGATTCTGCACAGAAGAGAGGCTGAAGCAGGCCACTCGCGGCTGGCGTACTTCCTTGCCAAGACGGTCTCTGTATTGCCTCGGATGGTCCTCAGCTGCCTTCATTTCACCACCCTCGTCCACATCCTTTCGCGACCCATCATCAGCTGGACACTCGCATACTGCATGAACCTCTTGTACTTTTACTGTATTTATGGTCTTGCAAGTGTCGTCAGCATGATTGTCCGACGAGAGGACGCCCCCCTCATCTCGACAATGGTCAGCTTCATCGTCGGCCTGCTTTCCGGAGCATCACCTGCTCTCTCGCAAGTCAGTACATGGCATATGGAGTGGCTTTGGCGGGCGTCACCGGGAACCTGGTTTGCGGAGGTCTACTTTGGTCAGTTGGCTGGGCCTTTCGAATACCTGTACGACATCGACATGGCAGCCGAGTTCACAGGCTACAACCTCGGAACACTGCAGATTGGGGCTTTGGTCCTCTTTGCTATTGGAACAATTTATCGCATTTTAGCATTTGGTGGGTTGCTGACTTGTGGCAGGATGAGGATTTAGGGTAGTCTTTGAGGCAGAAGATACGAGTACAATATATAGATGACGTAGAACGATTGTACTCGCCTTGCACTACTGTAGCCCTCACAGGTTTGCCCTCATCACAAAAGAATAATTTACTCTGCCTTGACGGTGATCAGTCCCCGGGCAGATAGCTGCACTGTCAAATTTCCTTCATCATCGACATCAACCTTGACCTCCTCCATGTCGTGATATTCATCCGTCAACCAGGCAGTTACCTTCTCAAACTCGCGGAATTTGCAGCTCATAACCTGAAGACTGATGGGTTTCGGCATGGTAGTGAGGGGTTCAAGATGACAGCGACCACCGACCCATCCGCATTTTGGTATGCTGTCGTTTTCAGGTCGCCGCCCTCAGTTACCACACGTCGCGCGTCTGGACGGACGTGACGAGAGTATTGCGCAAACGACCACGTTCTCTTCGCAACCTCGTACTCTCCATCTTCGACAAGAATTAGCTTCTCGTTGTTATTGTTGTTAGTGGCCTCGTCCTGCACAGCCAACCACCAAATGTATGCATTTACATTGCCGACCGTCAGAGCGTTGTGCAGCCTGTCGGCCCAGTACCAACCGTCACCGTTGGAGACGCCGCTGTCCCAGGCTGTAGTCCATCGACCGGAGAGGTCGCAGTACTCGGATTGCCAGACTGAGATGTCTGTGTCAAGCGGCTGATCAATCTTGGACGTATATTCGTGGCTGGTCCAGGTCGTCAGCAGGTCCTCGACGCCAAGGTCCTGCAGGGCAGCCACCAGCTCGATTGTTCTTTCCCAGCCGGTGAGCTCGCAGCAAGCAATGCCGACATCGAGACCCGCGGCGTTGAGAGACTCCCAGAGGATGGGCAGGAAGTCGGCTGTCTGCTCAGCATTGGAGCGCATGGACGCATACGAGGTTCTACAAAAATGAGCATCAAAGAGCCTGTGCAGCGAGTAACATCATTACTCACGTCAGATCAGGCTCGTTGAGCCAAGCAACATCTGTGATCTGAATACCCTCGTCTTGGTAGATCTTGATGTACTTGACGAGGTAGTCGGCATAAGCTTGGCGCCAGTCATATTCGCAGTCGCTGCCCGGAACGCCGCACAGCAAGCCACCGTTGGCGTCATCACTATTATTTTTCATGAATCCAGGCGCACTCCAGGCGTTGGCATAGATGCGTTCAACACCATACTTGACAGCCTGCTGTGCGAGGAAGAATTGGCCAGAGTCATACTCGTCCCAGACATAGTCGAACTCCCCGTCAGGAGAACCAGGGGAGACAGGTAGAATGGTGTTCATCCAGTCATTGTAGCTACTGTTGGAAGAACCAATGCCATTGCGCAGGATGGAAAATCCGATACCTGTTTCTGTGCTGTAAAGGAGGTCCAGGAGTTCCTTTTGGACGGTCTCAGTAACATTGAGTAGGAGCTGGGCGCGCTGAAATGCTCCGGAAAAGCCGAATCCTTCAATGACCTGATGCTTCAGGTCGGGACGGATGACGATCTCGGTTGCCTCGGTGCACGTGTCGTGTGTAGGAGCAGCACAGACGACAGACGAGAGTACTGTAACCGAAAAGGTGAATATCGTTCCAGAGCGCATGGTGACAAATGAGGATCGTAATCGATTGGTTATTTCTGGGTACTGGGGGGCTCAGGGCCGGCTATATCACCATTGAGGACTCAGTCGCGAAGACTGAGATTTTATATACGTCAAAGGCCGAGCTGCACGATTCGGATTAACGGAACGTGATGGATGTCTGGGTAAAGTCGGCTCGAGATGACGCGGTGAAGTTTACAAAGACCGAGCCCGCTGACGTCCAGAGTTAGGTTTCAAGATGCGTGCTCTTGGCAACCCCTCAAAAAGAGCCTTGGCTCAACAGGCACACATGGTCTTCTCCAACTAGGATTGCACGTACTAGGAAGTGATCTCAGTTTTACCCCAAAGCCAAGATGCCCTCTGCATCTCGGCAGACTTTAGCGCTCACAAAGAGCTGGTCCTGAATTCAGCCTGATATCGCATGATATGAATCCATACGCTCGTGTAGGTTACTTGCAGCAGCTAACTCTGCAGCATATCGGCTGGTCCAAAGTTTGTCGCATAGAAGCCTAGGCCTCGTGAAGTTGTTCCGTTCAGAACCGGCACACGATAATTGGGCGTTTCTCGCGGTACCAGGTCTGCAAGGCATATCTTCCCCTAGTACAGGTCTAGTGTGCCTATCGACAAGATGAGATAATCATCATCACAACGAAATTGAGAACAAGATATAAAGAGAGTAAGATGTTCTTATATACTGCGTGAGGGCAAAGCTGCCACGCCAAAATCCAGCTTTACGGCCAGCGGAAAACTATGTACTGCAAAAGTTTGTAACTCGGAACGGCAAATGCCTTTTAATGTCACTATCACCGCTCGGCCGCAGCCTATAGCTGTACCAGCTGGCACCAATCTCTGTGTTTCTTTCCTCGTATGGTTCTCAGAAGGAGTACGTTACCTACGCCAAGTGCCTGATTTCTCTTTACCTGGGCTGGCAAGGTGGGGGATAATTGAGCTGAGGATCAAGATACGTAGGAGAAGGTGCTCATCCACCGCAAAGTCGTTGTTTTTTACTATAGCGTGTGTTGGCACAAGCTTGGGAAGTTCAGCATTGAAACAGTGTCGCATCAACAATTTAGAGACACTGGTGGTACCAGTCGTTGACGACAGTGCAGGTGGTACCAGAGACACAAGTGGTTGCGCCGGACCAGCCCTGTCCACCGCACTGACCCCATTGGGGAGCAGTAGGGCCGCCGGGAGCTTGAGTAGGAGCGGGTGTCGAAGCTGTGGTAGTGGCAACAGGAGGGTTACCGGGGCCAGGAGGAGTAACCTCACCCTCGGTGAAGGTGGAGCCGATGGGGCCGAACTTGATGTTGGAGAAAGTGACCGAAGCATCGGGAACACGGGCCTCGATCTCGGGAGGCGTGCGGTTCTCGGACGGGCAGGGTCCTCGCTCGGCTCCCCAGCCGGTCTCTCCGATGGGGTAGGTTGAGTCGAGCCAGAGCATGTTGGCGTGGGCGTCGGTCCAAAGACTGACGGCCAGAACCATGCCGGCATCGAGAGCCTGGCCCATGTGAGACAAACCACCGAATTCGGTGAACTGATCCTGCTCCTCGCCGAACGCCTCCTTCTGGGCAGCGCAGAATTCGTCGGTGATGGCGTTGCCGGGGTTGTTAGGGGCAGTGGACTCGGAGTTACCAATGACCTCGCCATTCTGGACATAGAGGCGGCGGATCTGGGAGAGATCACCACCAGGTCCTTCATTGATGAACTGTGTCACAACAGTGATTTTACTGGTGGAGTCAATGGTGAAGCCGGAGCCCTCTCCATAGAACTCTCGGTTGCCCTGGCGGAAGGGGTTGAAGTCGCAGCCGTCAGCGTCGCAAGTGCCGCCATACCGATCCGCAGAAAAGGTACCACCGCAGCTATCGCCGGAGCAGGAATGGTAGGCGTTGTTAACGCAAGGGTGAGGAGTGTAGGACGTGGCCGCCTTGTTGGCCTCTGCAAGTTGTGGTCAGCGGCAAACTTAGAAGTGAGTTGCTCTGAAAGAATAGGAATTGAAGTCATACCCCACATATCCATCTCAGCGCAGCACGCGCCCATGTCACCAGTGCCGACATCTGGGGCGAATTCGCCGACGGGCTGCCAGCCCTCAACATTACCCTATGATGTTGGTTAGCAAGTCAGTAGCCTGGTTGAAGGAACACTCGGAACAGAAAGCACTTACGGTGCCATCTATCCACTTCAAATCGCGGGCACACTGGGCGTCACAGTATCCAGTGCCATATTTAGCGCCGGCCTTGTTACCAGGGAACTTGCCTTGGCCACCATCTGCATCCATGGAGATGAAGTAAAGAGCACCGTTGAGACCACAGTCCACGTTGGAGGAGTCCACGTCAAAGGTGAATTCGTTCCCAAGGAGGTTGAAGAGCTGGTACTTAGATCCGCCATCTGTAAGATACAAGCGAGCGCCAACGTTGCGGCCATGCTCGTTCTCGGTGACCAGCTTGATAGTGACTGAATCAGCGGTCGAGGTGACGCCGTAGGTTCCCTCGTAGTCCGCGCCGTCAACGCAGCAGTTCTGCTGCGCAAGAGCTCGGTTGGCGGCCAACAAGGCCAGGAGGGCAGAGAAGTTGGTCTTCATGATGAAGCGTGTGTGGTTGGAGTAAGATGGTATTAGGCTGGAGAGATTGTGGATGAGATGATAAAAAGGAAGATTGACGAGGGGAAGTGTCAATGCTTATTATATAGAGTTCTCACCAAGGAGTAGACGCGTCAAGATGACCTTCCGTCATAGTTTGTGAACTTCAGTTGTGCAAAACGGAACATCGTGCTCCTAGCGCCGTCAAATCCTAACAGCTCGGGATGCGACGGCACTAGCTTGCCAAGGGTAGTAAAGAACAGAAATAGGAATCGTATCAAAGGAGCCATCAACATGTGAATGATAGGCGGGTGCCGGACCGCGAGAGCGACGAGGCTGATAGTTGTACATGCGATGCCGAGGATGAGTCCTCATGTCAATTGGCATCAATTCAGGTGGTCCCGAAGAGCTCTTGATTGTCAATATACCTAGTGACGGCTGTTGTTTCCGAATCTGCAGCCAAGGCGGACGGACGAATTGATGATCTGGAGGCGATGTTCAAGTACAGAACGGAGGTCGTCCCGTTTCCTTGCATAATTGTTGATCATATTTTCTTGCAGTATTTAGCAATGCTCCAGGTCATATTGGACGTGGATAGGATTACGACGGCTCGATGGGGACGTTTGTGACAAGACGGAAAGCCTTATTCGGGGCCCGCCGCGGAAGCCTGCCACCGGCTCGGCGCCGAGGACTACGGCATCTTGCTGCATCAAGAGAATCCGTTCTACATGTATCTCACTCGACATGACTCTACAGAAATTGAAGACAACTTACTGAGGCTTGAAGATTAAGGAACAGTTGGTATAGGACAGATTGTAGGCGCCGTTTGCTTTCTTGGATCAAAGATTCACTCAGAAGGAAAGGTCTTCAAGATTCGCATTTGCAAAAGCTTGCAAAAGCAAAACTGGTTCCGACTTGCTGCTTGCGTTGGCAGGTCTGCTCAACACCAAGATATCGCCAAGTACACACAAGAATGTCATCCCCCGCACATTGCCATGGCGCCCAGCGCCAGGCGCCACTTTTCTCAAGTCACGCAGCGTAGACTTGTAAAGGCCACGCCATTTCTTCTGCGATGACTGCGCTGCAATTCGATTTCCGTTGCAGATTGTCGGGAAAAGTGCCCGTCAATCCATGAAGTTTTATTATCAGCCGTAAAAGACAGCCAACCCACGGTGACGTTACGTGATGTGCGCAGAGCCGCAACGGCGACATGCACACTATGCGGCTGGCGCCTTGCGCATAGTAAAGTCACTATCAAATGCAATATCGAAGCACCATACCAGAAATCTTGATTAGAGGCAGACTACCTACATCGGCACCAGTCTGACTGTGGGGCTGCAATGCCTCCTGGAATAGCCGTTCGCCACCGCCCGCTCTCCCGGAAACCGAGGCAATTTGCATGAGCGTAAGTGTTTGCATGGCCGTATTATTATAATTAGGCACTGACTGAGAGTAGCCAATAGGGGCAAGATGCAACGTGCCGTCTCAGACGCGTCCTGCTCAATCCTACCGCGCACTGCTAGCCTCCGTCGCCCAGCATCTTGGTTCCCCGCGATAACCCTGGCCCAATCCCTCCACCCGTGGATCTTCAGTGAGCCCCTTGCCCAGGCGGCTTTTAATCAGCCGCGATCTTTGAATTGAATGACGTTTCTTGCGTTTGGATTTTAAGTGATGTCAATCATTGCCCCGGTTGACACGGAAGGCTCCGTCTTTCACGCCAAGACCCAAGCATAGCCGAAATGATGGCTGGCTGCCCAAAGGACATTTTCATGACCCCTTTTCTGGGTATCTTCAAAGCCGCTTTCTCCTCGACCACTCGTCAAAGTTCCCCATGCTTTCTTGAGCCTGAAGTGCCTGGTATGGCGAGTCCTCGATACGGTTCAGCAAAGCATTGCTTCCTGCGTAACTACCCGTCCAAAAGCTTCAAGGGTAAAATGAAGCAAACTGGAACCGCAGCACAATCTTCATAATCGGTGGACTTGAATGGTTTTAGTCCACTATAATAAGAGGTGAGGTGCAGTCGAGAGAGTAGTAGTGAAGATGACTAGCGACGCACTTGCGGAGTTCGGTAGGTGGATTAGACTGCTGTTCTAAATCCGTTCATGTGTGACCTGCCCTATTAGGAATGTTTGAGCACCAAAGGGACGCGCGTGGTGGCGATTCCGATTTTGAGTCAGGAAAAGACCCAGTATACAGGTGCCTATCAGCACAGGTGGGTTTGTGGTGATATATGAAGGACCAAAGAGACGGTCTTGCCTCGTACTGAACTTGATAATGGCAACCTAGTGGGACGGGATTCGTAGTGTTGGCTTTGACCTCCAATAACTCCGGTCGCTCAGAGAGACGCAAGACGGGCCAAATTCTGCTTTCAGGGAACGCAGCGACGCGACATGGAGGACCGTGCAATCACCACAACGTGGTGAGCTACGACCATTTAGGCTGGTCGCGTCTCGGCCGAGTCGGTGAAAACATGTCGTTGGTCAGCCTTGGGTCTCTCTTACTCCTTTCCTAGGGCATCTGCACTATCGAAGCCAGGATATCCTAGGCCCAGTCGACGCCCGGCCTGCTCACCTGCATCATTCCATCTTGATGCTTCCCATGACCCCAACAACCACAGTCAGGTCGTGACCTAAGGGTCGATGATTATGAGACCCTGGTACCCATCCGGTATAGGATGCTCGGGCTCTCTGTTCGCTTGTATGGGTCTAGCCAGTCCGAAAGCGCCGAATCAGGGTAGGTATCGCCAATCAGCACCAGTTCCGCAAAGCCTTCTTTATCCTGTAAGTAGGTCTAACGAACTCAGAGCTTCACCTCTTGATCAGCTTCTGATTGGAAACTGTAGTGCTGTAGCTAGCGTTAGCAAACCTCGGGACCGTGATCGAAACCATGCCGCGCCACATCAGCCCGCGTGGAAACGGATGACACGACGGTCAGTCACGAAGACAGCTGTGTGGCCCCGCGATGTCTCTCCACCATGCCCTACGAAGCAGCGTTCGCCTGCACTTGTCAAGCAAAGTTCAATCAGATGGACCCCAAACCCTTCGTGGCGTCAAACCTTCCACGTGTCAATCGATCAAGTGGCAGAAAGTCTACATGAATAGAAACCTGTCCTCCGTAGGGTTGACGGATGTGCACAGCTCGTTTGTGCTTCGGTCTAGCTAAAGAACCATGGGATACCCTGCCCTGAGGACACCAGCTGACTCTTTGTATCATTCCCGCCAATGTTGCAGTAGAAGGTTTCGGTTTTACGTTGTGAATGACCCTCCGAAGCCCTCGTCCCACCTTCTCCGCCTGGGGGTTTCCATCCAAGCTGGTGGCTGGAAAGGGATGGGCATTTTCTGACAACCATGTCTTGTGTTAATCACGTTTTCGATGCTGACCGCTACGTCGGGCGATTGCGATGTCTCCCGCAGCCAAAGACTCCCACTCTTCATGTGTCTTTCGCGAAGTGATCGGCATTTGAGGAATGGCCGCTGTGGCCTCATCCTACGGCTGAATGGAGGACAACCAGCTACATCTCCAATTCGCGCAAAATATGCCATGGCTGTCGTCCGATCTGCACGGTGGACTCTGGTACGCACGATGCCACACCGGACGCTACAGCACGAGTAAGCCATGGTGCCCTTGGCGCAAATCTGGACACTGACGATACACTTCCCAGGCTGAGAAGGGGGGGGGGTTGCGGCTTGGGGTGCCCCTGTGCGCATCACGCTATCGCGACGGGCGGCTGCATGCCTAGAGCGATTGAGCAACAGGAATCGACTGGAACGAGCGAGGCGTCGTCGCTCGGACGGCAGCTACTGTGACCCAGAGACACCATAGCTCCTGAAAAAGCATGGTGTTGCGGCCGAAGCCTTGTGCACAGACGCCGCAATCACACCTAGGTCGATCTAGTGCAGGCCAGCCTCCGCATTGACCTCGAGTTCGTGATGGCTCAAAACCCCCCAGTCAACTTCGAGAAAGTTTGTTTGTTTCTGCATTCTCTTGTCCCAGGGCTCTGCTCTATCCTCGTCGCAACCTCCTGGACTCAGCGAACTGGACTAGGATGGTCCTGGAGAAACTGACCCAGGAGACGACTTCTGCCGCATAGCTACTCTTTCTTCTTTTTTCTTCTCTTAACTTTGTACCTACTTGGCGGATCGGATGACCATGTCATGAACACCTACGACTCTCTCACAGTGCGATCCGAGCTCTCATTAAACATATCATGCCCTCCCGCAGTGCAGGACGCCTGCAGGCCAGGCCGGATGGCAACATCTCGCGCCGAGGAATCATTGGCGACATCTTGAATGGACCGAAGTCACTCGTTGAAGGAATTCTTAATCCAGGAGCGGCCACGACTTCCACCCCTCAGCTGCACGATCACCGACAACAAGGCCTGCAGAGGACTCCAGGACTCAGGCCCGGAAGCCAATAATCTACTCTAAGGCACACCAGCCCCACTCAGAGCGACACGACTCCAGGGCCGATTCAAGCTGGTCCTAGTCCTACGACTGAGAAGGCCCATCCAGTTCTTACAACAAAGCCGGTTGAAACAGTGCCAGATCCAGCACCAGTGCCCTCTTCGACACCATCTCCTACATCACTACCAGTAACGACTGCTCAACCTCAGGAACATCCTCAGGCACCATCATCATCATCATCAACGTCACCTATAATCACAGCAAAGCCTGAGGAAGCTCATCTCAGTATTGGTGTGCCAACAGACCTATTCCGTGAAACTACACCAATACCTTCAACAACCAGCACCTCTATCTCTCCTAACACTACATTCCCGGCGGGCGAGCCAGCGCAGACTCCGAGTATCGACTCTCAGGGTGACGGTAACTCCATGCTTCCTTTCAAACTTGCCCTAGGTTTTGGCATCACTTGTAAGTCAATGCCAAAAAGGCCATGTTGAAGATGTAGCTGATAGCCAAGCAGTCGGCGTTCTTGCCATTGTCGCTCTTTTCTTGTTTCTCTGGCGTCGAAGACGCCAAAGACGCCAATCATTTGTCCAACTGCCTTATAGTGCACATCCCTACGAAAAGAAGCATCCTTTACCACCCGTAAATGATGTTTCTGTCGACGCCGAAGCCGGCTACAAGTACTCCCACGAACAGCATCACTATCGTAAATTCCAAGGTCAGCCCTCGCAGTTTGATCGCGAAGCCACTACAGCGGCATGGGCCCAACACAGTCCCCCACCCCCACAGCCTGAGAGCGAGACCGGCATCATTAAAATCTTCCGCTGGCCTACCCTCTCAACACGGTCGACCATGCCATCGACAATGCGATCAACCATTAGCAGTTCCCATAATGAGCAGTACAGCACACAGTCTGGCAAGCTCAAGCCGAGCTCCTCACGTGCTTCAAGGAGTACAATCTCGACAATGTTGCGCAAATCTCGCCGTGACATTGCGGAGAGAGCGGAGACGGCGAACGCCGCAATAGAAGCAGCAGCGCTTGAGGAGAAGATGAGAATGATGGACGCTGACTCGCCGCAGCCCAGTCCCATCCCCAGCCCCGATCCCCTTACTAGCTGGCCTGAGCCTTTAGTGCTGCCGCAAGAGAAGGTCCAGGCTACGGGGCTTCCACCGCCGGCGATTCGCAGGAAGCCGGTTCAGAAGCAGAGGCAAAACCTTGCCAGGCAGAGTCTCGCCAAGCAGAGGCAGAGCGTTGCGAGCATAGCAAGTTCGGGGGGTACGAGCATTGCAAGCAGCAGTGTGTTGTCACCGGAGTTGATGTCGTACTATACCCCATCGATGAGGACGCCTTCCCTAAACCAGGCTTCCCACTTTTCGGTTCCTCCAAGTATAGCGGACCGGCCACTACCGCCTTTACCATCCACAGTATACAAGCCGTATAGACGGGATGAACAATAAATAATGAGAATTTTTGGTTGCTCCCCAGACCCTGAGCTCTTGGTGCGCTCTGCTGAGCTGTTAGTATTTGACCTGAATACGTAATGCTTCGAGAGTCTTCATCAAGTTGCGGGCTCTCCGCCGCCGAAAGCCTGTCACAAATATCCAGAAAGCCGGTTCAAGACAGCGTGACATCTTCACAGAAGGCTCGTATAATGCATGCTGAATCTATGTTATTAGTGACAAACCTTTGTGTATTAGAGGGGCCGATCGGCATCAAGGCGGGAGGCTCACGTGCCCATGTTCCTGTATCCCGAGCGGCGCCCAATACAAGGCTCACAACATGTCATCACTTCTTAGCTGATATCATACAGATCGTCTCGGCCTCTTCAAGCATATATGGGCCCAGAATGTTCCACTCGCTCAAGTATGTGCTTGAAACACTGAATCTGACTTCTCGAGAAGTGATAGACATGCTAGGGAGCAACTTGCAAGAGCGACCAAGCCATCGAATAGTATGGGAATTGGAGATATAATATTATTGATCCTTACACCAAGATCTTCTCTATTGTCTCGCTTCTCGCTTCTAAGTATTGGCGTAAAAGGAATATCTCGAGTGGGTGGGATAGGACGAATGTTTCCAGACGATGGCACCCGTGTGACAGCAGAACTCTGGGCGGATCGCCTAACGCGCAATTGGCTACCTGTCCTCTGATCCGACCCCATAGAAGCATTAGTACGTCGACAAGGCATGGAACTCGTCAAACGATCCAAGAGATTGGCCATTGGTAGACTTCGGGATATGGGCGGCATCGTAGCGGAACTTATGACCTTCACATTTTGGACTCCTTTTGGCATCATCTACGTCTTGAGTTGTCCATTTGTCAATCTGCCCGCACTAGGGATGATCAATCAATCCATCAATTTGTCTTGGTACGGATTTCGTACAGCATTTCATCACCTACGAGTATTAAGATCGCTACCCATCAACTTTGATAGCCAGGCTTACCTTACCAACACCCAAGGACGTCATATCCTCGGTCGCGACCTACCACAGAAATAGGCTTTCGTTAGCACACGTGTGAGAACAAAACGGAGCACTTTGGGCCGGCTAGAGCCCCTGCAGCGCCCCTGTGGCGCCTCTACAAGCCCGTACGCAGGCCCCTGGCTACAGCTACCGATACCCCTTTCAGGGGCCACGCATGTGGCGCTACGGCGGCCCTGTGGGATCGTCGCTAATCCTCCCTTTTAAGACATCGGTATACGACGTCATTCTCGGTGTTGTTCCCGCGCTCGAAGCCTCATCCAAATCGACACCCTTTCGCAGAGACGTTGCCTTTGGGCAATCGAGTCGCGGGAACGATGGCTGGAGAAACTCCGGAGGGAGCGTCGCAGACTGCCACAGTAGTATGGGCACGAGTAGGACACTTGGGGCCAGATGTAGCGGGGTGGAGATGAACAGCAACGAGAATCGGCGAAAAGCGCCAGCCAGCGCATCTGCTATGGTGGGTGAGGTGGGGTTCGACGCGGTGAAGAGAAACAAAGGAAAGGAAAGTTGATAATCTGGGGAAATCAGGATGTGTCTGTGGTGATAGCGATGGTCTTCCTCGGCGACTTGTACTATTCCATCCGCCAACAGATGCGATAGTCGTCAAAAGACGTGGGAACCGAAGAATGCTTGTTGTCAACGGCGCTTCTCACGTTGTAGGGATCGTTTCAGCACACCTCATTTACACTTCTCTCTTGATATTTCATAACTTCTTGTGTAGCAATCAGGCCATGCTGCGGGATCAGTGGAGACAACCGCCGGAGGATGGCCGACGCTAGGGATTATTCGCGCTGGTTAGGTAGGTGTGTGATATACTCCCCTCGGTGTTGTGGGTAATGACCGATGTGGTGGTGGTTGGGTTACCGTCGGAAAAGCTGACGGCCGGGATCCATCCGGGTCAACAGGCGGAGCCTAAATGTATGCCCGTCATGTTGCCACAACCATGCGCATCCTTGAGCGCTGGGGGATGCTGGTCTGTGTAAAGCATTCGGCGCGATACATTGCCTCTGCAAGCAAGACGATCAAAAAAAAAAAGATCAAGCTGAAGGGATTCCAAGTCTTCTTCGCGAGCGTTACGAATACTCCCGTGCTTTCAGAAGTCGTAGTTTCGTGTTGTTCAGCGGAATGGCCACCGGCAGCCAGCCTTGCCCTCACCCTTCATCTACGGCCGTCGCCAAGAGTCGGCCAAGTTCCGACCCTGGCACTGCTTGTCGAGCCTCAAGACGCATGCCGAGATGCAACATTCGGCCGCTGTCCGAGCTTCGACACATATTTCCTGGCTTTAGCAAATGCGACTCTCGGCCATCCCCCGTTTTAAACCACGGATCACAAGCTTAGAAATTATTTCAGGACAAGAAACACTGGCGACTTTTCCGTGCTTCTAGTCCACCACTGGCTGGGTCACCCACGCGGAAAACTTCGGGACTCGATATTGCACTTCAGCACGCCACGACCGCCATGGCTCCTCGCCGCTCCCCAGCTGTGAAACTTCATGACAGACCTGAGGAAGGCTCCAGCCAACTGCCGCTGCTCGGAAACTGGCCGAAATGCAGATTTCACGACATAGCCCCCTGGTTGCGATGCATCGTGTGCGCTTCTCCCGCCCAATCCCTGTGTCGAAACGCCGCGGTGAACCTGGACTGACCCACCGACTTAAGCTTAAGCAATGGTCTAGCTTCATCACGAGGGTAGTGCGGCTCCATCTAGGGCGGGATTTGGTCCGACACCAAGAACCTGGTGTGGCCGCTTGGCGTTGGACCGTGTAGCCGTTTACTGCAGTTTGGAGCGGAAACTCGCAAGGCCGGCGGCTACCATTGCGGGTGCGAAGAAAAGCACGCGAGGACGGGGTTTGAGACTGTCAGCAAGTCTGCACGCTTGATTCCATTCTCCGTTCGCCTGCATGCGCCTCCATCATGCCAGATTCGGGACCATCATTGAGCAAGTCCATGCCTCCCATTACCAACTTCATTTTCTTTCTGCTCGCACATCATATGCACCGTGAGGAAATCCAACCTCGGATATCCCGACCCATCGACTACAAACCCTCTATCTTCATGAATATCTTACCACCCATTGACTCGCGGATCCCGACGTTGGTCCAATCGTCTTGAGTGCCAAGACCAGCACTCACACCATGTACAATGTGACCATGTAACGAAATGACCCTCCCGTCCGCCATGCCTCTATCGCGATGATCCCTCCTTTGCCTCGCGATATTTCCCCGGAAATCTCTGACTCTAGTCGCCCCTAACCGCCCCCTCCCCCAGATCAACATTCAGCCCATCCCCACACGCCAGCCTAAGCCTGCCGCTGCCAGCGCAACCAGATCCCCGTCCTTTTTGTGCTTCGCGACGTGGGAAGCGCGGGGTAGCAGCGTAGTATTCTGCCCAAGCTAGTCCGACTCTCCCCCAGAACGGGCCGCCACGGACCTCTCCAAGGTGCATGCTTCACGGTCGTTGGCCGGCGCCGTCGACGGCGCGGCATCTCGTGCTCCAATCCATCGCATATCTCACGCCGACCCTGGTTCTGGGGGTGGGTTCCATGGAGAATTTCAAGCGATGGGGCACCAAGGGCTCGCCTATATAATACGATGGAGCAGCCCACGAGTCTTGGATCCAAATAGACCCTGAAGAAGCAACCTCTCCTCCACCCGAGAAGCGAAATCTCTCTCGTCTCCGGCTTGCTCGATCTCTCAGCGAGTTCGACTTCGCAGCTTGAAGTTTAGTCAACTATCCAGGCAGAGTGTTTCACTCAACATCATCGCCATCATGGGTTGGAGCACCCACGCCTCCGGGACTCTTGATCCCCCTGAGGTTCGCAACTGGCGCATCCATCTTGTCGCCCTTGTCGCCTCCTGCTCTGCTCTCGCCAGTATGTTTAGCCAATCTTTGCGTCGTCTACAACAGGCAGGTCTTGCCATTAAGTGCCATACTGACAGCATTTAGTGGGTTACGATACGGCCGTCATCGGCGGCACCATGGCGCTTGACTCGTTCCGCCGCGACTTCGACCTCGCTGGCAAGTCCCAATCCCACCGTGATACTGTCCAAGGCAACATTGTCTCTACCTTCCAAGCCGGCTGCTTCTTCGGCGCCCTTCTCACGTTCCCGCTTGCCGAGAAATGGGGTCGTCGCAAGACCGTCATGCTCGCCGCTCTCGTCTTCCTCATCGGAGGTACTCTCATGACCGCCGCCCACGGCAAGCTCGAAATGATCATTGCAGGCCGCGCCGTCGCCGGCCTCGGCATTGGTGCTTCTTCTCTCGTCGTCCCCGTCTATATTGCCGAAACAGCACCGCCGTCTATTCGTG